GATTGAATCTGAAGACAAACGTTGCTAGTAGACATGCAGGACCCAGAGCCAGGGAAGCCTAGCATCCCTTGGCCTCCTCTGTCTCATGGAAACCTGAAGTCCATATCCATTCAGGAAGGTTCCATCACACAGGAGATGTGAAAGGACTTGCATGCCCACAGTCACGCGTTACAGCAGTGAAAGGCTCAGGCTATCTTGGCGTATTAGAACTCAGAATGTCCAGCTGCCAAGGTGTGACTTCTTGGAGATCTGGAGACAGATAGCTCTACATTATGTCACAGAGATGAGAACTTAGACTTGCTCGCTGTGGCTTGGAGGGAGAAGCTGCCGGTAAAGGGATGTGCCCTTCACAGAAATGCAGAGTTCTGGTTAATGGCAGTTACCCTGAAGTAGAATAACATGCTTTGCTAGGTCAGGCCGGCAACTGACACTAGGAATATCTGAACCAGAGAAATGACTGCTGGCGTCTAGACTGGTTTTCTACTGTCAAAGAATTGTCAAAGGGTTTATGGCCAACCACTTCTCTGGAACACCCTGGCAGCTGAGTGTAGGCCCAGGCTGAGTCCTAGCTCCCTGGGTATGAGCAGGAGCTCAGCAGCTTCCTACTCTTTGCCTGTCCAGCTCTCTCCTTCACAGTTTGGTTGGAGTAAGTGTATGGGGCTGAGAGGGGGGACGAGCCAATAAGCTTAACTTACATAGAAAAGACTGAATCTACAGTGCGTGGCAGAGGAGCGAGAGAGTGGAGGGTTCCTGTGTGATCTCGGCCCATGGCAGGAGAAGCAGCTACTTAAGTGGATCATCTGTAGCTGAGCTGTCTGGTTAGTGACTTTGTTTACACCCCATTCTATTTCTCGGTGATGCCACATAGCATTTAGACAGTTGTTTTCGGATTTTTATACCCTCCTCCCAAGTTTATTTACTCTTCCCCAAGCCACCCATCGTAAGACTTCCCAAACACCGTCAAACACAAGCACTCCATTTTGTTTTTAATCTGAAGTGGCTACAGAGACAAGCACTTCTGATCTCCTATATAACCAGCAGGTTTGTGAGTCTCCTTCATTGTTTTATGAACCATTCACCAGCCATTCACAGATGATAAAGGATTTCACATTTCTCCCTAGGGCTAAGCTGAACATGAGAGTTGTTTAGAAAAGCTGGTGTCTTACATAACCATGCTAACCTCTGCTCATCTTTCCCAAAGTGGAGAATCTGGATGGGCTCCACTCAAGGTGAAGATTCAGATAATGCAAATGTGTTTGGGGGCGTCAAATACATCATGAATAAACCACAGTTTTGTTTTGGTCAGAACCCAGATAGCCAAGGTACCCTAGCCGACTAAATGCATATCTGGAAAATAACACAGTTGAGCTAATGTTATGCACGTCTGGCTTTTGTGTAGCCAGTGATGGATGTTGCCACATTGGGTTTCAGACATCCTAAATTCCATCTCCCAACTATGTTTTCCCTCTTCTAATACCCTCACCCCAAACTCTTAATTATACAAATTCTAAACATTCTTCAAGATTTAGCTCTATAGTTTTCTTCCCTTTGATCCGTGCTTTAACACCTAAAGAATATAATTCAGAAAGCAATAGAATTGCCAACAATTGCTCCATCTTTTACACTTGCCCACAGCCGTGGCCTCTGTGTCTTAAGTTTTCCTTGGAGACCTTCAGTTACTGATCTCTAATAGATTCTAATAAGTAGATTTGACATAAGGATAATTAAAAGATATGGATCACACAGCTTTCAAAGGTATGCAAATTGTCAATGAAGAACAGAACAGAAATCGGCCTCCCTGCCGATTAAAGACAATTGAAGAGGAAGAATTAACTGGGCTTTTTGGCAGGTCTTTTAAAGGGAAACTGATTATGAATGCAGGGCTTTATCAGGGGAGCTCATGACACTGAGCTCAGAGGTCCCTGTTTCATTTCACAACTGCATAATTTGGAAATGATTAAGAACAACTCTTTCTCAACATTTTTTAATCATGGACCAACGAAAAACATCACATTGATTTCTCCAGCCTATCTTTCTTGAATGTGCTCATATGAAACACGTAATTTTAAACCAACTTAGCTCTTGAGCTTTAACTCCATTAAGTTTCTGTCAACACACTCGTCTACTTGTGGAAATACAAAGACAATTACACTTCTTGAACTCTACTAGCAACAGAGGGGAAAAAATGGCCCTAAAGTGAAAAGCTTGCGCTGCCATTCACTAAATAGCTTGAGGGTGTCTCAGAGCTGCTCTCCCACGGTGCACACAGTGTGAGCAGGTGCACAGCAGAGGAGCAGAAGACCTGGGAGGTGAGCCAGTGCTTCCTGTAAGGCAGGGCCTCCTGCAGTTCCTTCAGCCAGGGGCTCAGAACTGCTGGCTCCACTCCAGTTTATGGGGCAACACCAAGTTTGCCCACCTGCTTAGCTCAGTCATGTCTTCTCCCCTGCTTAGTTCAACGACCTTTTCTGAGGGAGATTTCTTTTCTTTTTTTCTTTTTGTCTCTTTCTTTTGTTTTTGTTTTCAAGACAGGGTTTCTCTGTGTATCAGTCCTATTTGTCCTGGAGCTAGCTCTTATAGACCAGGCTGGCCTTGAACTTACAGAGATCGACCTGCCTCTGCTTCCTGAGTGCTGGGACTAAAGGCGTGTGTCACCACTGCTCAGCTATAAGGGAGATTTCACTTAGCTTCAAGAAGGAGCTGAGCAGAGACCATGGGGGAGTGGGGGTCTGAATTTCATGCAAAGCAGAAAACTTGCTCATCTTTAAGAGGAAAATATTTAGAAAGATTTATCACCAATCTGATATAGTCCCTAACTCCTAATTTTATGATCTCTGTTCTAAACGCCATGTCTAGAAGCACAGGAAAACTTGGAAAGAGACATGCATATGTTAAATTTTATAAACTTAAAAGTGCAAAGTGCTGAGTGCTTAAGGGAAGAAGAAGGGCCGTTGGGGAAATCTAAAGATAGACTAAAACAGGAGAGCCAGGTATTAAATATTTTACAGGCTTAGAGAAAGACAAAATGTGCCTCTGGCAAGATGGGTCTCATTCCTTCTGATGTGGGACACTGTGTGCGCCCTCACACCCCTGCCCAGGGAGCTGCAGGCAGCAGGGGCTGGTGATGAGGGATGTCAGCGCTGGTGCAGGCTCTCTCAGCAGGAGGGTCCTTGGCCATGGTAGAAGGAAGTCACCCACCTTCTCCAGCCTGCCTTTTTCTTTCTGAACCCTAGTGTTATTCTTGTGTTTATGATGTCCTCCATCTCTGCTTACTAGTGACATTTAAATTTTCCCCACATGCTTAGCTAGGAATAGCAAAAACAAACAAACAAACAAACAAAAAACAGCCCCTGGAAGGTATTGTTAAGAATATGTGCATCCATGTAACAATAATCATTAAAGACGAGTTTATAAATTTGAGAGGGTGAGAAGACACAGAAGGAGCTGAGGGGGTGAGGGAGAGTAGAAGTGGTAGAGATGCAATGCTCTTAGATAAAATTCTCAATAAAAATTATTGTCTAAAAAACAAAAAACAAAGCAAACCAAACAAACAAAGAAGGCCTGCCTGACCACCAGCTTCTAAAGCATCCTTTCTTCACGGAACCCAGCCATGACGGACAGCACCAACATCCCCAGAAGTGGTACTTTTCAGGTTTTATTTTTGATCCCCATGGAGAGTGAAGATGCTTTTAAATGTAAAATATGAATTCCTGCTTGCCTCACAAGCACACAGAACGAAGGCCAAGCCTCCTGTGGTTATGGAGGCCAGGCAGACCTTCTCTGTCCTCTGGGCAACCATGTAGTAACATCATCAGGACCCGGAACACAGAGCAGGTTCTGCATCGTGTAGGTGACTTTTTCTGGCCGTCATATATTTTGACTCCCTCAGTTTCTCTTGAGCTGTTTATTTTTCCTGTGTCCTCTCTGCAATTACTTGTTCAAATTTGTTGATACTTTAAATTTTTTTTTTTCAAAATCTCTAAATTTACGACCTTTGGGTCTACTTTGGAATACACAAGCTCTAAAAACAGTGCTTTTTCCCCCTCCTACAAAGTGAATTAGTGTTATTCAAAATATATAATTATGCATTTCAAAATGGCTAGACGGGTGAATCTTGAAATTTTAACCATAAAGAATGATACATGCTTAAGAGAATGGATGAGGTAAATACCTTGAGTGGGCCAATAACCAATAAATACATGTTTTGAACCAGCACACTGTACTCTCTAAATATGTGTATGTATTATGTGTTAATTAGAAATGGAAGAAGAGGATGGAATGGTGTCTCAGAGGCTCAGATCTCTCTTTAGTCTTCAGATGACCCTGGTTCCTTCCTTTCCCAGTGCTCCCATGGTGGCTCACAATCTCTTGGAAATCTAGATCCAGGGGATTCGATGTCTTCTGATCTCTGTGGTATCCCGCATCTACGAGGAGTACATAGATACACACACAGACACATTCACACTCATACACACATGCTCACACATAAAATAAAGAAGCAAATGAATATCTGAAAATAAAAGAACTCACAGGGACCAGTGAGATGGCTCAGCAGGCAAAGGTGCTGGCTGAGTCAGTCCTGACACCTGTGCTCAGTTCTTGAAACCCACATAAAGGTGGAAGAGGGGACCAGTTCCACAAGTTGTGCTCTGATTTCCATATGTACAACATAGCATATGTGCCCATGTACATCACAAACACACACTAGTAATAATAATGATGATGATAAATTAAAAATTTGAAAAGAAATTATAGACTCTTAGGGAATCAAAAAAAGATGATTTGGTGTAAGTCTAGATAAGTTCAGATCTGTTTAGTCAAGAAGGCTCACATGCTGTATACGAATAGCATCTTTCTCTTTCCTGTTTCAGGTCCCAAGACTTTTGAACAAACACTTACTGTAGCTGGGATGCTTCTTATGATGGTCATATTTGGCACCTTTGGCCCTAAAACCTGTGAGCTCAGGAACCTCAGGTCAGAAAAAGGAAAAAAGCAGCCCTTACCTTTTTGTAGAGACTCCTCAGATCTCGGTACTGCCACATGCTGTTTAGGACCTGAGATGCAGCCTTAACCACCTTTGGAGAGTGCCTGGTAAAGAAAAGACAGGAAATGCAGGTGACCAATGGCGTCTAGTTTGGAAGCACATTGTCTCGTCAGAAGAGAACAAAACCCACATCCTCTGGGTTTTTCTCTTCAGTAGACTATTGCTTTCCTAGTCCCATTCTTCTCAATGACACATCTGGAAGGTGACCGCAGGAGGGCACTAGAATTTGGCAAAGACATTCCAAAACGCAAACACCTGAACCATGACACTCAGGGTGAAAACAGATATAGTTTCTAATTCTACAAAATGGAAGAGAAATATGAAAAAAAAAAGTGATTCTGCAGCACTGAATGAGTCTAGGGATTTTTTACAGCAGTGTTAGGCCACACATGGGGAATAAGAAGAATGGAGACAGCCATATTCCTAGGGCACAGGTACAGGTATGGGGCTGGCACACTGGCCTGTGTGAGCACAAGCAACTGCTTCTGTTGCCTGTGGATGCTAAGCATATATACCACACATACACACACACACATACACACACACACACACACACACACCCTAACATGGATACCTAAGAATGCTCGTAAACAAGAATCTATGAAGCCCTGTGTGCCCCTCAAGTTTGGTCCTTTTGGATCAATGCCATAGAAACCCATAAATATAGTATATAAATTTTTTTCTTGTAACCAAGTAATAAGGCCTCCAAAGCAATGAGAGTTCAGAATCTGACTCCTCTTATGACAGGGCCACTGACAAGTCTCTGAAGTGAGACCAAAGATGTCTTTGACTCTTACACCCCCTCTGTTGTCCCCTCTTCCCAAAGAATCAAAGAACCAGGACACCTACTTCTAGGTAGGGTCTTCTAACAATGAAAGGGATGCTGTACCCATGGAATCTCAACAAAGGCGGCCTAAGCTAGGCCTTCACAATGACAACATCAGGGGACAAATCAATGTGGATGGGGGGCTGACATCTCATAAGGTCTCACCCCAATATGAAGGTCTCCCCCCAATACACACCAATAAAAATTACAGGAGTCTTAAGAGACCATGAATTTGAGAGGGGTTGGGGGATGAGGAGTTTGAAAGGGGGAGAGGGAGGGTGGAATTATACAGAACTCATGTATGAAATTCTCAAAATGTTAAATAAAAAGACATATTTGAAATGAAAGGCCTTTGAAATGCAAAGGAAGCAGATGGTGGATTGGCTGGGGTGGGCTTGAATTTAAGAGCTGAAATAAATGAACATCTATGACAGGCACTCTATAATAAAGTCATGAAACGGCAGGACACGCAGATAGCATGGCCGCTGTTTTTCTGGGTCTTCACGTTTGTAATTTACACAAACTAAGGTTAAAGCTCCTGCATCCATTGACTGAAGAGCAACAGTGACAGCTACCTGTTTCTGAGAAACAACCCAACTTTGGCTGTATTATAACAACAACAACAAAAATGAGGTCCTACGTATTCCATTTTTTTTGTTTGTAATACATTAATACATTAGCTACAATAAGGTAACATTTGTTTTATTTCACTAAAATGAATGGATGTTTAATTATTCTATAATTTATGATAGTATTATGCTCCAGCTACAGTTTTAAGTTCCTGTAACTTAGAAGAATGTAAACCTTTTCAAGGATACAGATTAGAGCCCCGGTTGGCCTTGCATAACCAAGGTTAAACAAAGACTAAACACTCTTGTGTTTTTACCGCAGCTACTTGGTAATTTGTCTCTGGCAATGCCCAGGCAACCCTGGAGGAACATTATTAGAATTCAGGTAATGGTGGTGTAGCGGACACATTTAGCATGAAAAATTTTTCAGACACAGTTTAATTTTTTTTGTTTCAATTTCTTCTTTAGTTACAAAATAAGACTGTGAATGTGTATGAGAAGCAGGTTAGCTTCTCAGTTAAAATGCCAGAATAGCATGGTGTTATAGCAGCATGAAGGTCAAAAGGCACACTGCCCTCTTCTTCGTCTTTCCTTTTGATCCCTCCACTGACTAGCATCATAAAAATATCCACTTGAAAAGCTGTAACTGTCAATGGAAGGACTGGAAAAATTGAATGTTCCTAAGTGATTATAACCCGAGCCATAGCACACAGCTCTATACTGACAAGCAACAATTCAGATTGTTAATAGCTTCTCTGCCTTATGATAAATACAATGACACATTCAACACAATTTCCCATACAACTGTTGAAATCATGAAAGTAGATATTTGGAACAGATGGACATGACAGAATGTCTGCAGTGTATGTTTAAAAATGATATGAAAATAGTAAGTCATCAGACTTCAGAACAGTGTGCACTCCGCTCCTATAAGTGTTGATAACAATTACACAGGGCTTTGATCTTCCTGGGAGCTGTCAAATCCGGGGTGGTTGAAGATGTCTGATGGCCCAGTTTCTCGTGGCTGTACAACTCAGTCACATCGGAGTGACTTCCCAACACCATAGGGGTTGTGGTTCCGGTGCACTGTGGTCCCATCACTGCATGGTTAGGTTTGCTCATACTTCGAAGTAAAATGTAAAAGTATTTCAAACTTGAGGACCGCAGCTAGGCACATTTGCGTTTTGTTCTATGCCCTTGTTTGCTTGCTCTGCCATGTTTGTTGGCATGCTGTTTCAAGTAAAAATCAGACTTGAACTGAACTTAGTTCAAGTTTTTAAGCAAGTTTTTAAGAACAATTTCGTGTGGACATATTTGTGATAGTTGTATAGGTTAACTGGAATGAACTGATATTTTTACTGTGCTATTGGTTCCTGAGCTCCAAAGTTCTGCTCCTGAAAAGGTTTTTGGTTTACTAAAACACATCAAGAGCTTCAAGGGAATCCCAATGCTTGTTGTCACCATAGGACTGAGCAACAAATACAAGTTTCACGCTGAGAATCAGAGCAGCTCTCCTGGTCTCATTTTGTTTCAAAAGCAGTGAAAAGCAATTATAAATGGAAGTGTAGGTAGGAAGCGAGAGGTAATGAAAACCTTGTTTTGATCCTCCAATTAGTCAGGATATTCGTATACCAAAGAGACAAATCACATGGAAAATGGAAGGGCTGACTAAGTGTGAGAACTCCAATTGTGAGAGACCTGATTCAGTTCAACTTAACACTTGTTATTAAAGTCATAATTCCAGACTGTTGACAAAGAGTAAAACAAGAGGAAGGAAGAATTCGATGAAGTGAGTAGCTGTCTATGAAGAAATGTTTAGTCAAACTAAAGGACACCCCTGAGATCACCTTCAGATGAAAAACACCTGCCCATTTGCAACCACCAAGTCTGGGCCACACCTTGAAGGATAATTCAGACCCACCACGGAAGAGCTGCAAGATGTCACAGGTGATTTCTCCAAACAGACTTTTCAAAGTAGTTTCACCAAATAGTTTTCTTTGGCTGTAAGTCTGACCACAGCATCTTTTGTACTCAAGGCCCACTGAGTGTCAGTTACTGCTGTGGAAAAACTCAGGACAACCCAAGGGACTTGATAGATACCCCGCCACCCCCACCCCACCCCCAGTTTTCTTGTCTTTAAATTTGGAGAATGTACTTTAACCTTGGGATGTCTCATAAGTACAAGCAAATAGAGTGCTCCTTTCAACCGTGGTTTTACTGTGTCTCCTAAGCGTATCTGCCGTAAGGAAAAGTAGTCACAGCAACAATATATTGGGCTCACAATGCTCAAGGGAAGTATGCATTTCTTTTCCTTGAGACCCACAGGTCTGCTGAGCTATATGAAGAAGGAAACTACATAGCTTCCTGGCTGTGAACCATGATGTTTTATTTTCAGACAGAACATCACACGCTGTATAAAATTCAAGTCCCAAATCTACATTGCACAATTGCCTGAGTCTGATGGGCTTCACCCCTTGACACAAGAACATATTCAACTCTAATGCTGAATTGCTGAACGAACCTATTTAAGAAGCTCAGGGTATTTAAAAACCTCCCCCCGAAACTTTTATAACACATTGCCAATATCTCGAGTTAAATGAAATAATGAGACAGAGTTTCCGGAGAGTCTCAAAGAGCATTCCTCACCATCTTCAATAACAAAAGAAAAATTAATTATTTAGAATTTAGATGTAAAGGAACGGGAGGCAGGGAATGAAAAGACAAGAAGTCGGCAGGCCCTTGATAATAAAAAGTTTACCCATTTAATCTTCTTTGATTACACTGAGGGACTTGCAGAAGACAAAATTTAATTAAGGATAGTGAAGGTTTCTGTAAAGGTTGATATACCAGCTGATACACTAACATCCTAGCTGATGAAGTTTTTTTTATTACTTTTTTATTTTTTTTTTAGTTGCATACAGTAAGATACCCTTGATTCTTATATCACAGGGAATATTGCCTCTCTGCCCGGGGAATTCCTATTTATCCTTTCAGATTTGATGACCCCCGATTCCAGGAAGGGTATCACGCCAGGCCTGCCTTCAGTTTTAGGTTAGAAAGCAAGACCATAGCAAATGACCTGCCCAGAACCTCACAGCGGGTAAAGAAGTAGACTTGAGTAGAATTAGTTCTCTCTGACTCCATAGGAAGGACACACAGAGAAGACGCCTGTGTGATGACTTGGAACACAGAACCTAAGGATACGGGTCCATTGATACAGGGACTGGCAAGCACATTTGAGAAATAACAGCAGGGAGATAATGTCATGTTTTCAGACTAAACCGGTTGGCTGCCCTGTGAAGGAACTCAGATTGGAGGCTGGGATGTGAAGTCTTTCTTAGCAATGCAAATGCAATGCTGCCCGGACTTACTCCAATGCAAAGGCAATGCCGCTCCCGACATACTCCAACCCAAAGACCATATTGCCCCTTGACTTACTTATCTCCTTTGCTTTTGGAGATGCCGACCAACTTCTCGATGCCACCAGCATCCCGTAAGGCCTTGGCATTCTCCATGTTCTTGGTGATCACTTCGTGCAGGGTGCAGCACACGGCTGTCACGGTGTCATCTGACATGGCCTTGCTCCCTGCGTTGTTGCTGTTGTTCCCTCCAGGGAGCCGGTGGACCAGGTCTCGCATGGCGTATTTGCCTTTAGGAAAGAAAACGAAGGGAACAGCTTAGGGAAGGTGAAGGTGGAAGGAGAGGGACAACGGAGAGCTGGGAACAGAGGAGGAAAAGTGGGCGCAGGAAGGCACTGCCTGTTCTGTGCAGGGAGATTGTACGTAGAGGGTACAGGAAGGTTGCCCACCGACGGCCACTGGGTTCAGGACATCCTCACCATCAACCACACTGTGGATATTCAAATCTATGGAAGCCCGGGTCTCACACAAAGCAGCACATGTCCATCTGTCCTCACACTTTAAATCACTTCTCTGACTCAGTTCAATGTCAAAGCTGCGTAAAAGCAGTTGACGTCATATTACTACAAATTCTGCACATGACTAATGCACATGAATATTAATCAAATAATTTCGATCTGCAGGTGGATGAGTCCTGGCTGAGGCTTATGCAATACTGAGGACCAACTGCACTTGCTCACAGTCAAGGCCCAGGGTCTGGTCGTCCATAGATGTAGGACTGGCTCTCTTTGGGAGTGACTTTATGGCTCTAATCTTCACTGATTTCAGATTTTAAAGCAAGAACAGTAAGAACACGACATCTATAAGATTATCTTAACGATGAACTGAGGAAATTCATGGAAAGCACTTATTCCATAATTAAGAAAGAACGTAGCTTCAACAGATGCCATGTTGATATCCCCGGAAGTAAAGAAAATGTATGGTGACGGGCACAACCGCACGAACTTAGACTGGGATCTTTATAATGTAACAGCAGTTGTAGGGGAGGCGACCCTGACAAACTGTCTAATGCAGTAGCCTGTGTGCTCGGGTCACCTTGTCTCTCCGATGAGCTTTTATTGCACGATTCTGTAATGCAGCCTTAACTAACCTGGCATGTTTTTCTTCGCGTGAAAGTAAAATAAAACCCAACTTTGCTTACTTAATTCACTTTATCATTACCGGTCTTGCCTCTCCCAATGATAAAGGTACTTACAGTGACAGATTTATGGAGTGTTTTTAGAATACAAAGCACTTTAGACTTTACCAACAGCCCAACAGGACAATTAATGCATCCCACCCACAGCTTTCAATTCTGTTCCTTTAATTTACTTCTGGAAGTAAACAAGAGCCTGCAGCAAAGTCTGCTGTCCCTGAATTATTTTGGGTGGAATTGGCAAGTGTTCCAAGTCAGGTCCCTTACTTACCTCCCACCCCAGGACTAGACATATGTAGCCAGCTTCTAATAGTTACAGGAAATACTTTGCCTGCAACAGACCTCTAAATGACACCTCCTTCTGCTGAGAAACTGTCCAGTGTGTGGGAACGCGGGGCAGGAGAAAGAATCCCGTGGGAATAGGCAGTATCTTAGTGCCAGGTGGTAATAAATAAAACATAGGGCTCTGTAATATGATATTTTGATATCTGCTCTTATCCTTATTTTAGCACGGACAGAAAATGCTGATGTTTAAATTACGGAAATAGAAGAGCGTCTGCATTCAGTTGATGACAGTAGAGGAAGTGTCTGAGAGAAGGAAGCGCTTTGACTTGAACACCCCCCAAAGTGGCGTATTTATTTTCTAATGACAGCATTCAATATGGCTTGCAGAGGATGCTTTGTGTGTGGATAGTCTTCATAGCAAATTGCTTGATATATTTATCGTTAAATCAACTCAACTCTGACGAGGAGCTTGCTTCTTGTCGAGCTCAGCATGCCTGCGGTTCTATCATAAGCCACCGCGAGACAATCTGTCAGCCATGGACGAAAGGAGATGGAGGGACACGGACGCGTCCTTTCCTCCCTGCCTCCGTAAGGGAAGTGATGCAGGAAGTTCTGACGACGAGGACTGAGAGACACTTCAACCATCGAGGATGTGGGACATTCTCACTTTGAGTGTGGAAGACTGGTTCTGTGACCTTAATATTGCCATGGTTAAGAAGAGACTTATCTGCGGAATTTCTTTGCTTGGGCTGCTGCTTTGGCTTAAAAATGCCAGGTGCAAAGGATGTGGCTTCCTTGGAAGAGGGCTTGCTTAGCATGCGCGAAATACTGGGTGTGAGCTCTAGCATTTGGGAGGTGGGCCACAACCATCAAAAGTTCAAGGTTATTCATCCTTGCATCAACAGAAAGTTTGAGGCCAGCCGAGACTACTTGAGACCTTGTCTCTAAATAATTAATAAATAAATGAACCTATGTTGTATAACTGTGAATGTGTGATTTCTTCATAGCCTCCCAATCTGCAAAGCCTAAAGGAGACACAGCTTTTCTGTAACGTTTGTGTTGGGTTTCATGAGTACCTACTCAGTAGCCTGTCTCCCTTCTGTGTCTCAGCCAGTGGGCAAAGGGAACACTGATAAAAATTCTATAGTTGAATGTTTTAGTTTAATATTTACCAAAGGATCCTTGCACACACCAAAAAAATGAAAAACATAAAAATAAAAAGAGGAAAAGAATAGATGGGTGAGATGAGTTTGCTATCATTGCCGCTACTGCTTTGTTTTAAATACCATTCTGAATCAAACCAGATTTATTAGAGTATCTTGTCTTTAGCCACTCAGGGTTAACATCCATGTCTTGCGTCCTTTAAGAACTGTGTTTGAAAGTGCCTTCTCCAAATTTACACCCCATAATCAAGCTAATAAAATGTAAATAAGCAAGTAAATAAAGTAAAAAAAAAAAACCAAAGCAATGTGAAACATTTTAGGAGTTTCCTAGACACCAAAGCACCTTAGGAAATATGGGATGCAAAACTTTAGATATGTATGGCGGTCTGCAGATTCTTATATGATGTAACATTTGTGGTGATATCTGTCTTGTTTATCAAGAGTCTGACACAAGAGTTGGGTGTGATGGCTCTCATTTAGAATCCTAGACTGACATAAAGTTAGAGGCCAGGCTGAAACAGTATGATGATGATGATGGTGGTGGTGATGATGATGCTGATGATGGTGATGATGATGATGATGATGATGGTGATGATGACAAAGAGAAACAATTAAGCCAACAATACAAAATGGTTGACCAGGGAACAAAAGGAGAACTCAGCTTCCATTTACTGTGGCCAGTATCCTCATCCTGATCAGGTGTCAGGAATGATTTATAGTCTTTTAGAGAGACATATGTTCTTTTCTCTTTAAAGAATGCAACCTTTTAGTACAAAGGCATCAGAGAGCCATTTCCTTTGCTGGGGATCCTGGAGTGCACTTGGATGGATGAGCAGAAGGCCTGGAGCTGTCTCACACCCTCCCGTGTCTGCCTCTGTGCTTATACCAAGTGTGCTTGCTCTCACATGTGTCACTAACTAACTCCCATGTTAGGACAAGTGTCACAGCCTTGGTATCACTGGTTAGGATGGGTGCACAACTGCAGATACCCAGCTTTGCTGGTAGCAGGGGATTCCTGATGGTCTCCCATGCTTGCCTAAGACCCACAGTGGGTGACCACTGTGCCTTTGTAAAAAAGTATCTCAGTAGAAGCCTGTTTACAGGATGCTCACACGCAGTGAGAAACACTAGGCTGTTGCTGACAGTCAAAACTGACATCATCAACACAATGCAGGAGTCGGGATTCCTACAGCTCATTCAGATTCTGATCAGACCACCCGGAGAAGCTGGATGGCTTGCTAATCCAAGATCAATAAAATAAAGATCTAAGACCAAAGGGAAACACACATAACTGTGGCTGACATCACATTTCAAATGAGGCTCATTATAAAAGCCTTCTTTCCACTTCCCCTGTCTTTATTGCCTCCTCTGACAGGTTACATTGTAAAATTGGAACGACACTTTGTTCAAATGGAGCCCTTTTCTAATGAATCCTTCAGAGTTCATTGAAAAGATCCTTATGAAAGTTTCTAAGACACATGATTATCAGCAACGATGACAATGACTACTATGGCAACAGCGCCTGGAAATGTAACGACTTACACTGATCAGCCTGAGTTAAAACAACTCAGAGTAACAGTTTTAAAAGTATTGATGCCTTTTCTATCTGTGTACTTTCCTTAGTTATAGAGTCTGAATCTCACCAGCATGTAATCAGGTAAATAAAATCTGTAACCATGACCTTACCAGCTATGTTACATTTAAAGGCAAATAAAATTTAATTAGACATGACAAGGCCATTAAGGAACTAGAACATTTTGCATGTGAAATTGGTTATCTGTAGCCTCCTCCCAGGACACTGGCTTGGCTCATGCTACATGGTTTAGGGGTTTTCAGCCCTACAGGTAGCATGGCTGGGATCACTGAAAACGTGAGTTCAGAACCTGGAGGAATCCCTGAAGCAGGCAATGGAGGAGAGACTTGGAAGAGGCGATGTTCCTTCCTGAAAGTTCTGTGTTCTGACCTTGGTAGCTGAGATGAAAAGGAATGGAGCACTTCCACCAAGAGAAAAAGCTAACTGGTGAGACTTGTTGTGTACACTTCTCACCTTGCTAACCACAAAGAAGTCTTTCTGAATGGTTCAGTCCTGCCGGCTATGTCTGAGTCTATGTTTGTGTCATCAAATGGTCACAAACAATAGAGCTAAGCAGACATCTATGGTGGCCTCTGCACTTCAGTATGAGAGAAGACTAGTAAGAAAAACCAGTCCCTAGCTTGTCTGTCCCCGGCAGCATGCACATCAACATCAACACAGCACAGCACAGGAGATTCGCTCAGGGAATAAAGAAGCAAGAAGAGACAAAGAGCAAAATAAACACACCATCACATGCCTACATCCCTGCTCTGGGCTTCTAACCAACTTTATCTCAGACATGGACTATATCCTTATGGATGACAGCAAGGTTATCCTATGATGAGCCTGTTTGTTCAGTACAGTGTGAACATCATCATGATACATCACGGTAAACGTGCACTCTTTCACTCCATATATGGGCACCAGTTATTAAGGCTGGATCCCTTCTAATGATTCATAAGTAAAAGTCTCTCTTCTTATCTTTACTGAAAAAATTCATATAAATTATCTGATCATCATTTCCCAACTCCTTTTAGATCCTGTCCACCTCCCTACCCACCCAACTTTAAGTCC